GTCACATGTTTGATTATATTTTATCAATTTGTCTCTTATTTTCTTTTATTCGACAGTCTGATAAGTTATCAAGATCATCAACAGATTTTATATTTGGTTTTATTCATATCTCGTTTTGTATTCATCATATTTGTTGTGATGAAGAAGCGATGATCACTCTGATGTGAAAAAAAAAATCAATAATGGCTATTGCTGGTGTACAACACCATAGAAGACATGAGAAAAAAAAGAAAATCGATTTTTAACTGTAAAAAGATGAGATGATATCTTATTAAATGAAGCAGAAAAAATATAAAGATTTACAATGATCGTAAATATTTTTTTGTTGAAGATTTATATGTTTCTTTTTAAATGTTAATAGATTATTCTTTGACGGTTTTATTCAGCATATTTTCAATAGAATATTTGTGTTTATCAACATCATCATTACAAAAACTCTCTCCATAATTTAACTCAAGATGTTTACAACTTCAAAATCAAAATGATGAAGTTAGGTCTAAGCAGATACACGTACGTATTCGTGGAGATAGTCGAAGGTTTAATAGTTGAAAACTTTAGACGGAAAGACTGATCTTTATAATAGCATAGCATTAGCGATATATCTATGTACATTAATGACCAATGAGTCAATCTTTTTATTATTATTTTTTCTTTTTTGCTAATGCTCGTCATTGTCTGCCATTCCTGGTTGACAGTTACTATCGCATCTTCCTCGTACGTATTTCAAGCTTGAAAGTTCAACTCAGCAGTGACTTCAACAAATTACAATCGACGTTCTCTGACTGCGTATTCTATCTCGATAATTTTTTGAAAAAATATATTCGTGATCAATTTTTAAATTTATTCTTTTCGTACACTTCGTCCTGCATCTCTTGTGGGTAAATATAGATGTTGTAGAAGAATTCAACGATACGTCAGATTAGTTGAAAATTGAGTGTTTTAACAAATTTAATTTTGGTGAGAAAATTAGAAAACTTTGTTATTGGATAAGTACGAAAGTCACATTGATCGAAACTTGGTTTAATTTAAATCCTTTTGTTGCAAGCTGCAGTTTCTTAGGTAGTTTTCGCAGCAATGTAGTTCTAACTTTGATTAACATATCGTTCAAATAATCGAGATAGTTCTTACTTGCTCAATTCAGAACAAAGTCAAGTTAAATAGAAGCAAATCAAATGACTGATGCATTAGAAGGACATTTTCAAGATTTTTATGAAAGACGGATTTTTCTATTTTGAAAATAAGAATACATGAATTTATGGTGTAAGAAATATAGCCTATCAAAAGTTATTTAAAGTAAAATATAGTAAATAAAACTTCCAAGTAAGTGTTCTCGATCATAATAAAATATGTAAAGATCTTTTTACGAATATTAATAGACAGAAATAACAAAGAGAATGTTTTTTTCCCAAATAAAAAAGTTTTCATTATATTGGTAGTATCTTAAACATATCACATGCTAATGTAGATATCATTCACAAATAATACATTAGCTCAAGAAAAATATTGTTAAGATAGGTACATCATCAACTCATTCAAGAAAAATGACAACGACATGTTGATATTTGCGTTGAACATTTACAAAGATTTAAAAATGATACATGGAAACTGTATAATCTAATAGTTACAGGGAATGAAGTTTGAATTCTTCATTGCGAAATTAAATCAAAAGAACAATCTAACATATAGGTAGAGAAAGATGTAAGTTCTTCAATAGCAGTTAGACAACAATGCCCATTACTTTTCTTAACGACAAATGGACCATTACTTAGTCATTAATCAATATCATATATTATCGCAATTAATGCTTAAAAATTTTAGTCAAAAATTCACACAAAATAAGATCATAATGAACAACAGATAGCATCAAACTGCATGATGATAATATAAGATTACATATGATTGATATTCTTTTTTGACGAAAAAGAAGAAATCTAAGCTATGGTTGGTCCACCATACTCACTTGATCTTACTCCTTCCGATTTAAATCTGTTTAGGTGCTTTAAAGTGAACTTGAGAAATATTCAAATGATAGCAGTTTAGCTGAATTATATAATCAAAGAGCTCAATGCAACACTTATGAATCGGAAAATATATTCGAGAAGTGAATTCAAAGGATGAAGCTTTGTGGATGTGGAGAAAGAGAGGACACCCACATTCACATGCAGTTCAGCATAGGATAACATCTCGTCTTCCGAAAAAGACCGTTCTCTGCTATTTGGCTCTCCACTAGCACACGAGTAAATAATAAACGCAGTTTTTTGTTTGTAAACCATGCCCTTATTTTGTCTTTTAATATCGTCAAAAATGAAGAAGGTCAGAATGCATGCGATAGCCTTGAACTTGGATCAGTACATAGTAGTGTGCACACTTCGCCAGACTAGCGCCAGTTCTTTCAAATAATAGTACAAAAGCTCGACAGTCTTATTCTCATAGCAAATTATCTTTTAGCATATCTTTATTTGTGCGACGCGTTTCATCAACGCAATGGCGACCATGTTTAACAATGTGAACGCTGCTGACGCTTTTATCGTAAATTGAATCCCTGAGAAGAAGACGAAGGCTGTAGACAAGCTTTTAAGAAAAGCTATCACTACTTTAACGTTGGAAAATTTTCTATTCGAACAGAAAAGTAAAATTCTGACACAAAACTATGATAGAATTTGGTTCACTCATAACGTGAGTTCAAATCCATGTGAACCTTAAGATTAAAAGTCATTTGAGATAGTATATGCTGATGGCTAATTTAATGAGTAGTGATTATTCTTCGAAAAAATAATATAAATAATACGTGAAAATAAATTATATAGGATGCAATTATCGCGTAATACAAAGACTATTAAAACAAAATGAATGATTTAATTCTCTTTTTTTTTCTTTTTCACTGTGCCTTAGTTGATTATTGTTGCTAAAGAATTCCAATTAAGTGTTTCATATGTTTTTACTTAGAATATAATTCTTCATATTAATAAATACACGTGCAGTCATAAGACGTGAAAATGCTTTTTTTTTCTCCTTATCGTTCTTCCATTTTCCAACATACTAACTCGCTGTCAATCTCTTTCAAACCATCTATGCAAGCGGTATGTGAAGAAGGTAGCAAACAGAAAGAAAAATTACACTTCAGTGTGCACGTGGATATGTGAAAGCAAGGTTGCAAGTGGGTGTTGATTCAGTTGTGGCTATAAGTGTCTATATGAGCAATGAATGTAGGTGTGTGTTATTCTCTTTTCATGCATAGCCAATGCGCAAACGCATATACACAAAAATTGACAGATTTTTTTATTCTTCTTGTTAATAGAAGGAAGAAACAAATGTGTCACGAAATTACTAAAAGATGATGATACAATCAATGAATTACATTCGTTCAAGCAATGTAAAGGGGTGTGTGTGTGCATGACTGTGTTTCTTTTGCTTCTTCTTCCGAAAAAACAATGAAGGAAACTTCCAACTTGTCATAGTATAAAAAAACATAACATTGCTTACTGAGTACACTTCATTGAATTAATATATATTTTCAGCAGTTTTCTTAAAAAAGAGTAGCTGTAGGTGAATAATATATCCAAGCTCACACTTACATCCAAGTCTGACGATATATTATTAATTTGGATTATTTTTGATCATATTCTTCATGTTCCTAGATCAAAATCAATCAATAAACAAAATACAAAAGAAGAAAACAGTCAAGAGATATCCTAGTGCTGAAAAACTTAATTTTCTTCAGATAATGATAATTAGTTCTTAATTTTGCTTTTCAAATTTACTTTAATGACAGCATAAATATTAACATTAAGTTTTATTAGTGTTTGTAAAAATAATACTTTACTTAAACAATATAAAATAGATGGAATAAATAATGTCTACACTTATTTAAGTATAAATTTTTATTTATTTCATTATATAAGACAGTTTATGTTTTTCTTTTTCTAAAAGGTTAGTGAATCCATATTTATAAAAATTAAATTATATTTAATAACTAAAATAAAACATTTGATAATCGAAACATACACATTCTTGCATTTTTCTTCAAACTTTTCATATCGTACAAATAAAATGAGTGTTAATTTTCAATATTTTCTTACAATAAACATTGAATCAAAACACCATATATAGAAGATGCCAATAATACAAACTTATAGTACAACTTTTTTTTTCTAATTTATTTTATACTATTCGATTGAGCTTTTCAAGCTTATCACGAATATGCAGTTAAATTTTCAAAACTTGTCTTTCCCGTGTTAGAGAAACAAAAAATTCGAAAGATCTAAAACTTAAATTAAAAAGTGATGTTTAAAAAAACTTTGAAGGTTGACCATGTTCACTCAATATCTCGCAGTCTTGAATGTTCCAGTAAGAACTACTAACTTTGTGAAACTATCTAGCTTTTTTTATGTTAAGAGGTAGACATTAGTTTCATATGCCATTCGATCCGTTATTATCCACAAAACAAACGTTTTTCGTATGGTCCTTCTTACGCCTTGTACAATGTCTTATTCTTCAATTTCTTTCAGACGACTTATACATCATACCTTTGTATTCCAAACCCTGAAAATACCGAAAAACAAAAAAAATCTATCTTATTTTAAGGGGAACCTACTTATGACTGGTAGCAACATGTGTGAATAAGATCTCGGCTGCCTTGTATAAATTTGCTTGAAAAATATTACGATATTGATAACCTAACCAGTATCTGGAAGAATCATCAAAAGTAATTAATACAGTAACATCTTATATTCGAGTCGATTTGAACCCTGTTTGGTTAAAATGTGATGAAAATTATTGATCACGTTTGATATTTTTCTTTCCAATGACTTTTGTACCTTTTCTTGGACGAATTACAGACAATTTTTATTTATTTTTCTTAAACACAATCTGTTTCTATTTCTCATTATTTTAAGAAACTAAGAGATTTAATAAATATTCAGAAACAAACAATTATTTGTGAAACAAATGAATAAATATATCTTCCACATCATCTTTATTACTACAGAAAAAGACTAAAATTACGGTTGTGTTACATCAAATAATGAAGTAATACGAACATCAAAGTTAACATTGTCAAAGTTTGTAATTGGTGTCCATGAATGAAACCTTATAATTCTCATTGGTTCAAACATATGAAATCCATTGCGAGAAAAATATCCACTAAAATTCGATGATACATCAAGCCAAACAAATAAAGCTGGCCGTGTAGCTGTGATTGTGATACGAATATCTGTTGGTGTTAGTTGTTGAATACTTTGAATATGAAGATTTGGTTGAATAAGTTCATAATTTTTTGGTTGTGTCAAAAATAATGTTTGTCCAATTTCTTCTTGACTACTGTTAAAACGACAATGAAGAAGACATTGACTACTATTGAAACAACCAGCACGTCTCATTATTGTTGAATATGGAAGATCAGTAACATGTTGAACAGCAGGTGCATTAAATGAGATATCAAATGCAAATGGTAATCGAATCGAAAATGTATCTAATGACAGAAATGAACAATTTAAATGACCAGTTGTACCATTGAAAAGCTCATTAATAACATATAATGAAATTTGAGCATTTTCATCTGTTACATTCGCTAGATAAGGTGTAAGAATAGCTAATGGATAAACAGGTTCATACATATGCTGAACATAATAGTGACCCATTTTCCATTTTAATCCATATTCAATTGTTGACGAAGTTGGTGCTTGCCAAATATCATTGATTTGCCAATACATAAGACCCATGGTGTGACTAAACGGAAGAAAAGATTTTTTTTTAAATATTTTAATGAAGTCTTAGTTGTGAAAGAGTTAGTATTGAAAAGTGATTTACCCTTGACTTGTTTTTGGATCAATCATATCAACTGATGAATGAATTCGACACCAATCACTAATACTTTTTAATGTCATTGCTTGATTTATTTGACTTAAATAAATCATTTGAGTAAAGTTTTTCAATGAATCATTTGTCACCGGTAATGGTAAATTACTTTTAATTTGAGCCCTCAAAAAAGAAATAAAGTATCTTTGGGAATAAAAGGATGAAAAATTACAATTAACATACTGCATGTTATTGATTTTGTTATCATGTTTTCGATGTTCAAAAAAAGGACTCTCATACTGTAAATCAGCGACATTTTGTGTAACTTGACGCCATGTATCAAGACTCGGCAATGAATTCATACCCGTTTCAGACAAAAAACGTGTTATGGGATATGTTGTCGGATTCCAGGAATCATTATTAAAACCATAAAAATGAACATCTCCTTAAAAGAAAAATCTTTAGAAATCTTACATACAAGATCTCATGTCGATAAACTTACCATATAGTGGATCTTGAGGATTTGTTGCAATATAATCTTCACTAATTGATTCTAGTCCGTTAGAAGGTGATGATGTTATAAATGGTCGATTATTACCTTTATCAACCTCCTTCACAGAGTTCATTACCGTATTAACATATAACTTTCGATAATCATCTTTTGTTTTCGGTATTTTTTCTGTTGGTACACGATACCAATTTTGTGCAACAGCTTGTTCATTTTCATTATTTCCTGACCAAAGAACAATCGATGCATGTGATTGAAGTCGTTTTACTTGATAAATTACTTCCTGATGAATATTAGTTAGAAATAGTTCATCAACTGGATATCTGACAATAAAAGATAATCAAGGAAAAGATTACGATGTGTTTTACTTACAAACTACAAGCAAACATGAAATCATGCCAAAGCATAATACCTAAACGATCAGCTATTTCATAGAATGAATCACGTTCATATATACCACCACCCCAAACACGTAACATATTCATATTAGCTAACTGAGTTGAACGAAGTAAACGTTCAAGTCTTCCATCAGTTACACGTTCTTGAAATGCATCTGGTGGTACCCAATTACTTCCTTTAATATAAATTGGATGACCATTAATAACAAAATAAAATGATGTTCCATTAATAGTTGAACCATAACTATGTTGAGCAAGTTCAACTACTCGAAAACCTATCAAACGTGATCCAAGTAATTGACCTTGGTTATATACAGATAGTGTATATAATGGTTGATCACCATACCCATTGGGCCACCAAAGTTGAATATTTTCATTAGGAATCAATAATGACACTGATATATTATGATTAAATGTGATATTAGATTGAAATGTAAATGAAGTATTTTCTAATACAAATTTTAATTGACTCATAAATGGATCATTGGTACTACTCAATAAAACATCAACTTGCCATTGATTGATGGATGTTTGATAAGACGCAACATTGACACTCTCAAGTTGAATCGATATAGTGGCATTATTCGTAGCTTCGAGATAGAGATTACCTGTAATACCAATTGGAGCAAATGCTGGAGCCTATAAAAAAGAATTATGTAGTGGAACGTATCTATCTAAAACCATCTATTTTCTAGGAATTGCTATTTAAAAATTAAAATCATGACCTTATCAACTCAAATTACCAAACTTTAGCAATATCTTAAACAGGTCTTAATATCATTTAAGAAAATGTTCTCTAAAATCAATATTTGTTCCAACAATTGAAGTATAAAAAATTGTTGTTAGTTCATTATAATCTCACCCAATCCCAACTGAATGAACACGGTTCTTTTCGAATAAATTGAACATGACATTCACCATATTGCATATCAGGTGGACAATCTGGTGGAACACTATCATTATATGCTTGAGCTTGATTTAATGCATACACCACTGGTGATTCAAAATCAATTCGAAGTTCATTATTAGGTTGCAAACAGGTTTTCATCACATTAAATGTGTAGGCTATAAACATACTATTTGTTTGACCAATCAAACATTCATTTAATCTTATATTAGCAACTGTATCGATCTGATCAAAATGAAGTGTATATCTTGTCAATGTAAGGAAATCTTCTGTCAATGAAAAATTCTTTCTAAATGTCCACGGAGTGTGAATTAAGTTGCGTAGATTAACATCATTATAACCCCAATAAGGTTCTGTGATTTGATTAGCAGTAAGAAGAATAGTATGAATAGTACCAGGTATTCGACCTTGCGCAAAATAAGATTCATTATTATTTATTGTCCAATCATTACCAGTTAATGGAACAATAGCACCACTGGATGAACCAAAGAAAAGAAGAAAAAGTAAAAATGTAGAAGACAATTGTTGACGCATAAGATATTTATTTCAATTATGACTCGAGTGAAATACTCTCATTCAGTGATCAACTGAAAAACAGTTAATATTAGAATCTTAATTAATATATTTCTTATTCTTATGAAAATAGCAAAATAAAAGTATTCAACTTGTGTATCTTTCACACTATCTCACCAACTCCAAAAATTTAATACTTATCTTTGTCTAACGTTCTTGTATTTTTCTGTTTTCTTTAGGTTTGTCACACGGTATGATAATGTATGAAGGTTTACCTATGGCAACCTTTCAAAGAGACGCATCGTTATCGTTTTCTCTTATTACAAAAAAAGTACTTTACCTCGTATAAAATTTGACTAATATGATTGAATTCGCTCAGAATTACTACGCTCTACGGATGCTAATGGATAGCTTGAACAATCAACACCGCTATTTGAATCTGAGCTATTTTTAAGGTACTTTAAGATATCATATCTTCTAATATATTATTAGGAGACTCTTAGGTAGGATCTTAGTCAAATTTCATTTGAACATTACCAATTCTACAAGTATAGCATAAAATTAACAATTGTATTGTTTTTCGTTCTTTTAGGATCTGATTCGAGAATTCTTTGGAACCAAATGTTTTTCATACATATTCCCTAAAATTTGTTATATACGATTCTTCATGTTGAGTATTCTTTATATATTGCGTTATGCTTTCGATTCTATCATTTCATTCGACAAAACAATAGTAAAATACTAAAGGTTTTTTTTTCCATTCTTCTCTCATCTGAAAACGAAGAAATGTTAAAGAAATTGAGAGCATCATTTATTATTTGTGATTAGTCACAATGATGCACTACTATGATATCTATGAAATCCTCCCATCAGCTCACATTCTCAAGAAAGAATCAGATAATACTCCTTATATTATGATTTGTAAGGTCAGAGAGATCATAGGTCATTTCACCTGCTATATGATCATTGCATGCATATCTTTTCCCTCTTTTGTTTTCTTTCAATATATTGTCTTTGAAGAACCTTCTTGTTGGCCGGTGTGGCTGTCACTCTTTATGTGCTTGTGCACGTGAGAGTGTGCCTACTGTTTCTCACACCCACACTATATTTTTTATATTTAAACATCCTATTGATAACAGTAGATTTCATATTACCCTTCGGAAACTTCATGTAATAATCTAGAATATTTTTTTTTCTTCGTCATTTATTTTTTTGAATAATTACAATCAAACAAATATCTCATGAAGGTCAAGAAACCAAATATAATTTGTTAGGAACATAAAAATAAAAGTAAGAGAAAATAAAACGAATAATTTTTAAAAAAATGAAAATGCCCCCGGTGAGGCTCGAACTCACGACATCCGCATTGCTCCGATACTGTGTATAAGTACGGCGCTCTAATCCAACTGAGCTACGGGGGCTATCAACAAGTGAAAATTCATCAATAGACATTCACAACATCTATTTATCATAGTCTTCATGTATGAAAATTTACAAACTAACTTAGTAAAACTTTTTAGACCAATCCCTGTGGGGTTAAAATATAGAATTCGCAAATGTTCTAGAGTGTCATTATACTAATACAAAATATGTCAAGTGAAAAATCTATCATAGACTACTAGTTTTATTCTAATAAAAACGATCACCAAAGTGAAGATTTGTCTTATTTATTTTTGTATGTCGAACAGATCTTTTTTCTTTTTGCGCGCCCTCTATTTTTTGTTTATGTTGTTACTATTCGCTAGGTATTTTTGTTTTTTTTAATTAACATTATTATTATTCTAAGCATTAAATTGAATGACAAATAAATTTGTTGTACGTATTCATCAAATCTCCAGCAGACTCTAGGTGTAACTTTAAAACGACTGACAGATACGTCAAAACCCACAAAAGAAATGCCGATTTAAGAAATCATTGATTCTCGAAATTCAGAAACCATAAATTTTCGTATTGCAAAGTGATTCTTTCAAGAATGATAAAATGTTGAGATCATGAAAGCAAAAACAGTCACAATCAACAAATTATGAGTTCTTGCAATCTAGAAATCATGTAGAGTACAGATATTGATGTAGGCTGACAGAAAAAAAACGCCTAGTTTTTTAGAAGTCCTAAATGAAAATTCTGGCTCTGTTAGATTGCAAAACAATCTCCTTCGAGAAAAATGCGAAGCAAAATTTTGTCTAGGAACCCAAGCTACTTTTCTTTTATTAATACTACAAAGAAAACAAATCGATCGTAGCGAATCGAATGAATACATGTGTGTACTTATGCAGAGAGCGTGTGGGTATGGGAAGTGAGTCAGCTCGTCAGCACCTGTGATATACACCGACCTTCATACGTACACCAACTTCTCACGTCGATGTTCATAGCCTAATCTACATCAGTACCCACACCCAAACTCTACCAATCACACACATGCAAAGAACCACAGCTACCCCTATATCCACACCAAATCACCAAGTATTCAGCATAAGCTTGATCACCATCTGTGATCGAGTCGAAGCCATCAGATAGCACTTTCAGAGAACTATTACTATAGGCTGATTTACCAACGAGAACCTTTGTATAAAGCACATGGCATAGGTCGCTAGTTGGGTTTGCTGTATGCTGTGCCTGTAGTAATAAGAAGATCATACTAGAGCATCGAACAATACAATTCATCTACTCACCATTTACACCGGCAAACGACCGAGTACAACACGAATATGTGGTCATACCAGCCGCGGCTATTGCACATCCATCAAACAGGCCTTGTTCGGAACTACCGAGCTTATAAAACTTCTTATGACACAGGTATGCTGTATGCTACCGTTGATTTTGAATTCAATCGATTCGACAAATAGTTTTATACATTTCTTGCATGGTTACATTGAAGTTACGCAAAACTTTCTGATATTTATTTCCATGACTATCCAGCTGGAAACAGCGAACATTGTCAGATTGTAACTCCCTATGGGTTGCTGTCGAAAAAGCGTTACGAATAACTTTCATTTGACGTTGATGATCTGAACTCTACATCAAAGAACAATAGCTTACTTTTGAATGAGTAAGAAAATATAGATTTATCTGCATCAGTCGACACTTTTCTTCGTTGAATCAAGATCGCTTGCGTGTTTTTGAATTTCCAGAATAATTTCCTCGGCTATCATAGATGGACCCCACATCAATCCGCCGCAAGTAACAACCGAGACCGCTACAGAATGGTAGCGATTTTTAATGACTTGTTTGATAACAGTATGCACAAATCTATTAATGTTTTTCCACTGAGCTGCTGAATCATTTGCATCGATTTTGCATGGAAGAAAAAAAAAAATTCTTTGGAAAAGTAGTCTTCCATTGACAGTTTCTATTCCTGTGGCAGAGTGTTTGACTGTCGCATTGTAGGCATCTTTCACCGAAGATCCAGCTTTTTCAAGAATTTCATCGAGAAAATAATTTGACGTTGTACTCACAACAATCATGTCAACTGATTGGGTCGTTAAGTCACTTTGTCGAATGTCAATATACATTGCTGACGGTGTGCTCGAATTGTTTCCTTCATTAGAATAGGTGCATGGTGGTGTTAATTTCTTCTCAAACGACTTGATTTGAGTTTTTACATGACATTCATATTCTTTGCCTATCTGTTCAAAACGACAACATTTGTTTGATCGATTGTGAATGTCACAGGTGCACAAGCCGCATCCATTTGCTATGGTTTTTCTGAAAGCTATTTCTGATAGATGACCTCAAGTAGACAAATAATATAATGCTTTCAGACTAATATTCAAGTTCCTGTGATAAATTTCTATTTTTTAAATACACTAGTTTGTCAAACGAAATCAAATCTTAGACTTTTCAGGGTGTGAGGTATTGATATAGGTGTGCGTGCTTCCTTTTCTTTTTCTCTACCAAGCATATTCACACTCCCATAGACATCCAGCACATTCTCATTCAAAGAGTAAAAATGTGCGACAATATATATCAGTTGACCTAACGGGTACACTCAGCGATTTGATGAACTTCTCTTTCGAATCACAAGAGTTGAGCTTATGACTAAAATAAATCAGAAAACAATTCAAAAATTCTGTGTTTTATAAAAGAGACTGATTTACGGAATCTACTAAGGTTCACCAGAATCTGATAGAGCGTACAAGCAACTAAAATGGTTAACAAGGATGTGGATGTACCTTAAACAGCCCTTTCATAATCATCCATATCCAGACCCGTCCGAGACACTTACATTTGTTCACAATTTGGAATCAATAAAATGTTGCCGTTGAATGACACTAATCAACTACCTTGCTGTTTGAATATAATACAACATTACTTTTGCTCTTCTCGTTTAGTGTGAAATTCACGTGCTTTTATTGAAACCAGGAAAGTTGATAAAAAAGTCAAATAGCGTTGTTTTCTTTCTTCTCAAAATTTGTACAATAGGATGTAGGTGCACAGTCAACATGATGTAATACTTACGATTTCGAAGTAATGAAAAATTTTGAGAGAGGAGATGCAATTTTTCTTATTTGTCTAAGATATTATTCTTTTTTTGTTCAGTATACATTTAAATACAATATCAGTTCTATGAGATACACAATAAAATCAAATACAAAATAAACATGCTACTTAAATCGAGAAAATTAGGTAATACTTGTTACAATATCTATTGACAAATTTCTACGAATATAGAATGTTCTAAAATTCTATCGAAAAATGAATCTTAATATATTTTGAAATCTTTTGATATTAATATGGATTTTAATTTCCAGTTAAACGAGATCTGTAGCAAACATCATGAACGCATGAAACTATTGAAATCATTATGTGAAAAAGAATGTTCTACTATTCTTTAAGTTTTTTTTTTAAGTACAGAAATAAGAAAACTATCCTAGATGAACTCTATTTGATTTGAAAAAAGATAGAATTATGTGACATTTGAGACTTGAAGTCCATCAATTTCTAGAAATTATTTTTTCAAGAAAGTGCAACAGAAATGACCATTCATTTTAATGAGCATCATGAGTAGCTGAGCTGACGTGATT